AAAGGAAGATTTGTTTTGTCCAAGACGTAAACAGGTCACCACACACACTACTGTCCATCCTCCCTCTCTTCCACAGTGCCACAGCGAATGCTTAACTCAAATCTCTCAGGGTAGTTTGCATAAGCAAGAAAATGGTTTACAAAAACCATTCATGAATATCTGAGAGGAGCCATGTGATTGATTGTTGTGTTATTACTGTTATTTATCATTATAGTTTGTATTGTCTTGAGCTGGCCAAACACTAGAGATGACATGTAAAGTTCATCTAGACTTGTCATTTGTCATCTAGATGCCTATTTTGAAGCCAATATTTGAATTACAGGCCGTGATTATCTATGGTCATATACTAAAGTGTTAGAACCTCTATATATTAAAGCAAAGGTTTATCACTTCAGATTTCCTAAAAGCCCAAACATTTTAATGTAGCCAAAATATCACCCTGGAATTAAACAGTCCCCAAAACACCCAGTGAACAATTACAGAACTATATACAATACACATAGCATTCAAAAACTTAAAACACTATTTATTTCCTCCTGAATGCAACATTTATTATTAAATTTAACACATTCGCTGTATTTCCTCCAGCAAAATGCCCTTATGCATAAATGGGCACCTTCCAGGTCATTACTGTTGGAGCTCCAAGGCAGAACAGAATGATTGTCTCTTTTCCCAGATCCCACTGGGTTAAACAAATTTGATCTCTTCGTGATCTGGCTCATCCTTCACAAGGAATGGCACAACCATCAGAATTGCACATGCACTGCTCATGGTTGTAAATGTGGGATGCTCAGGCAGCTCATCGTCTGAGCATGTGCAAGCGTTCAGCTTCTGGGTGACCTATTTTCAGAGACTGGCTGGACTGAGGTTTCTGGGAGCAGAGTTCTCTAGTCACCTAGTTAAAAACAGAAAGAATGCAAAATATACCAACTCAAAATTAATGAGAAACAACCACAAATAAAAGGCGACTGCTTTTCTTCATTAATCTCCATGTGAACAAAAGATATTGCTAGCCACTGTCTTCCCACAAAGTCCTTCCAATAACTCAGCAAGTAACTGGAGAAAATCGATTAATTCATTTCTAATATTTGAGCAGATAACACTAGTAATTGACCTTCTCTTTTGGAAGTAAGGGCAAAAACATTTTATAAAACTAAGCAATTTAAGGATCAGCTGTACTACATAAAACCGGTCTGGAAACCTATACAGAATGAAGCCTTGGCTCAAATCAAATGTTGTGACTTAAGTACATTTTATAGACTCATTGCAAAATAAAGGTTTTATGAGACTACAGTATTAAATGAAGGTGGAAACTCTGTTCACAGGCACTGAACAAATTGAACTACCATAAAGCCACTAATCTGGCCCAAAACAAGGGGCGATAATTTACTTTTCAGGATTCCTGAAATGCTCAGTCTTGTGTTAAGGACTATTGCAACAGACTCCACACTTCTGTGGTGTAGTTAGGCTACTCTGTGTTTTTCCCAACAGTTGTACAGTAAACAGTTTAAGTAAACAAAGATAAAAAGTAAAACAGCTGAACTGTTTGGTTCATTAGTTACCAAGATTGATAAATGGAAGCTGGTTAAATTCAGACCAAAAACACAGCCCACACATTTTCAAAATAACCTACAGTATATACAATTCACCGTACGATATGCCATTACACATTGCAGAGACAATTTGGTTTTTTCCCCCATCAGGATGCCTTATAGGCACTTATGGGCTAAAACAGAACCCATGGAAAAAAATGGCAGCAAAACAACCCAACACCAAGAGATCATGAAATGGAACTGCTTGGAAATTGTGGTCAACCGTTTCATATAAATGTCCAAAACACCTGACCTGTTTAACAAAACTTGCACTTGTTTTAATTGTGCTTTTAGAATATTCAACAAATAAACTCTTCATATCTAAACTATTCAAAAACACAGCCAAATACAACTTGGAAATTGTTCCTGCCCCTCAAATAAGACACCAGCAATTTTAATTGGTTCTCACAAAGAAGTTTCAGGTGCAGAGCAGAGTCAGCAGCATGATTAAGGAGGTGGAAGGGGAGAATGACTGGCCTTCAGTAGAAATAATACTGTAGAAGAGGCACTTGCAGAGACAAAATCTCCAGAATAATTGAAATCTCCAGAATAATGGCAACTCCTACTTGCCCTACTACAGTGCATTCTGTTAACTCTTTCTTCCACAATCCAGCCTTCTCAGTTGTTTTAGATTTATGGATATCTAGCAAGAAAAGGTTAGACCTGTGTTCTACACATAATAGGAACATTGACGTCTAGCGCTCCATCCTCAAAGCCACATCTATCAGTCCAGTATATGTGCAGTATTATGATATTGGGGAATATTTACACGGAGAAACAAATAAGTGGAACCACAACAATAGGAACAAGAAATGAATGACTTTTACTTTGTCAAACTTTCCCTCCTTAAAGCATTTTTTACTGTTTAATTTGGCAAATACTCTATAAATCAGCTAAAAAAGCATGAAATCCATACCACAGTGTTAAAGTACAAGAAAATCATCTTACACCCTTAATAGGCTTGGGTATGAAATCTCATGGGAGAGACATATGAACAGCTAGCCATCTGTATAATTCAAAGACAGTTTTTCATATCACAGCTAATTGGCTAATTACAACTCTTAATAGCGTGCTTCATTTTCCATAAAAGGCAAGACTTGTATTTCCAATGATATATTATTTGGATTGCGTTTCTGAAAAGGCCTCCAAGTATCAGAGTAAAGTCATTAATGGTTATCAGTGTTATCTGTTTTTACAATGTATCCCTGGTCTATTTTGCCGTGGAGCAAAGTTTTATTGAACCCTACCAGTTACACCTCCCTATTGCTGTGGGAATATAAAACATATACTGTTCATGGTATAGGTGCAGTGCCAATAGACAATAACTGAGTGCCATTTGCAGTGAAGCTATAACAGATAAGAAGCAAAAAAATCTACAACATTTGTACAAGTGCACACAGGCAGCTATTGCATCCAGCCATTATCTCCTGTAGAGCATCTTAAATATCCTAAACAACTCAACACACATCACTGGTCCTGTTTTTTGTTTTTATTTTAAAAAAGGTTTCCTACATTTCCCATACCAAAGTGAGTTCAGACCTGTAGCACTATTACAAATGAAGACTTTGTGAAACAAATATTCTGCAGCAATCAAAAGTGAATTTTTTGCTTGTGCAGAGGTATCACATATGTACAGTAGCTCACATGGAGTAGAAATACATTGTTACATACAGTACTACACACAGGAGGACTGCCTTCTTGAATAACAGAAAACACACTTATGCAAGTTACAGTCAATTACATCTTCATTCGTGTATATGTAGGACACGTGACTGCTAAATGATTTGCCTATTATAAATAACTATTCTGTTGCCTGGATTTTAGGCTGTATGGTTCAAGTAGAACTCAACATTCAAAATGTAGTCCATCTCTGCAAAGCTGCTAATAGACATTCCAATACCAAAATATATAACATTGTTGAAACTCTACATTCCGGGTAATCTTAAATATATGTATTTGATTATGAACCATGAAATTAAGGGAAACGTCTAAATCATAAATGGAAAAAATATTTTTTCAGTGAGTAAGCATTGTAGGTAATACGGACGAATCTATCAGCATTTTACAGAGAATTAAAAAACTCGTAAAAATTAAAATGGGAGGCAATATCCCACAATATGTTATATTTCTCAAAGATATGTCCCATGTCTTTATGTGCCCTTAAATTAAATTAACAGAAATGCTGCAGGATTAACATTGTTAAGATGATCTGTTTTAGCACTGCTTATAATGATGATATTATGCATAAATTAACTTAAGGCACTAACGAATCAAAACCACATTAAAGCAGGTAAGGTTACATCGCATAATAACTCATTTTGAAAATGAGCACTCCACAGGATTTAGTTGGACACGTTCAACTTGACACAAATGGTGACAATAAGGTAACAAATACACCTCGCGATAGGCAAAAACAGAAGCTAGCAGCAAAGCCCACAGCGTTACCATACAGTATATTAATAGAAAAATTGAGACAAAAGAATCGCCACCAAACATCTAGCATTGTGCACAAACCGAGCCATATTCAGTTATCATTTTCGCTCTAATGCTGGCAGCATGAAGCTGGGTATTAAACTGAAAAACGCTCCATACCGTGAAATGCTAAAAACATCGTACAGTACATGAAGATATACTGTATATGTTTGCTTGGCAAACAAATATGGTATATTAGGTGATACGCTGTAAAACTGAGAGGCTCTAAACTACATCTCATGCCGCGATTATTGGGTGGTAAACATTTTATATTTTCCCTTCGTAAAGGCATTATAATTTGACATCACCACAAATCACAATTGTGACATTATAAAAAAAGGTGGGATTTTCTTGTCTTTTATTAGCCGTGGTTTTCTGTTAAATGTTCTGCAGTGTTACAGCAAATAAAAACCCCGGATTACATAAGAATTTTGGATTTTTAGTCTATGTCCACTCTGTCTAGAATTCAGAAAATTGATCTAAAAAGGATTTTCACAACTCTCCGTGATCCGCTTGAATGTACTGCACTTGACTGATTTTTTTTTGTAATGTCTGTCAAATAGGGCTATATAGGGAGAAAACACAAGCACAGCATTTCTGGGGTGTGTGTTTCTTTATGTGGACGAGTACAATCCAGCAGCCTGAAAACCCTATTGTATAAAAGGTACTCAGCAGCATTTAAATATTAATTCAGCGAGAAATATGTTTCATTTTACTCCAAGCTCGTACTACATTAAAAGCAAAGGTGCAATTGTGATAAATTGTGAGGACATCGTCGCCCGTTACATCAGTTCAAGTTGGTGTCATCTCTGGCTGTGCGTATTATTCACAAGAGCTTGATCAGGTGCAAAGCGTTCTCATCAACCCCATTTTCTTCGCCGTCTCGATAGCAAAAAATTCACTGACAATTAACATCCAATACTTATACAAACTTACCCTCAAAGCTGAAAGGTCTATTTCATCCAAGCTTCTGGCTGGAGAATCGCTCGCCATGTTTATTTCACTAATGAAATTAAACAAGAAAGATAAATGAAAGGAGACAAAATCCTTTCTGTGCGGTGTCCTGCTAAGTTTGTGGCAAACGCAAGGTCCCGACCGTTTTCCTTAAAAAAATAAAAAATGTAAAATAAAAATCCCTGCTGATATCAGGAAATACGGATAATATGTACAAGCAGCACAGTGCTAGAGGTGATACCTTGATGTATGTAATGAGGACATGCTTAGCACCGTATACACGGCGTCCACACGAACCGTAAGCTACAACAAAACAGAGCGAACGCACAGATAGCAGATCTGCAAAATACTGTCAATCAGAGGCTTCCCGGGAGTGGTCAGAGAGAAGGGGCGGTCGGATTGTTTCCAGCCGCCCATTCTTTCCTTCTGAGCGAGTATTTTCAAAGCAGGGCACTGTTTTAACAAGCAAGATTTTCTGATAACAGGTAACTGCAGAGCTGCAAGCATACAATAACGATACAGTCCGGGATGCTGTTAAATATCATTAACTGATCCGTCAGGGTCTAACTCCTTTCTATATGCCGCTGATGTGCTAACTAAAAGACTGAATTGAGCGCTAAAATATTTCAGTTGGACTGTAAACCGCACCGCCTTAATGAAACGGTTCTTGCATTCAAACATAGTCTTAAATTGAAAGCAAAAACTCCACTTACCTTACCTGTCTTATTTAAGCAATTAGGTATCAACTGTGCCATTCATTTCCAATCCTAATACAATAAATTGTATATGGCCAATAAAGTGATCTTACATACGACCTGACGCATATACTTTTCACCACGAGCTCATTGGAGCCACACTTAAAGCACTTTTCATTGAAACGTTGAGTAGATAGGCTTGTTGATTGTTTGAGAAATGTTGCTCCTTGGGATACGAAAATACTGACCACAAGTCATTTGATTTAATTAAAACACTGGATCCTCAGTGGTTCGTGTGACTTTACTATGCATTTGTATAATTAGGCATTCAAAAAAGCAACAGTTTATGCAGTGTAAAAACCATGAAAGATGTGATCAGAACCCTCTTGGAAGTTATGAAGTTGTCCTGGTTGCTACAGTATGTACATGATTGAAAGCCACCAATCTGTGAGAGACGTTGCCTGGAGAATGAGATATATCAGCATATTAGTCCAGACAAATCAGGAAACTGGCTGTGTGAGGGACAGACCACATCATGGAAAGCAGAGGGTGATTGCTCTGTGCAATACGTTTCAGACTGCACTAAATACACTTTTAGAAATTCTAGGAATAAATAACCCGAGCATCAGCAGCATGACTCTTATTGTCTGTCTTACAGTAGCATGTTAATGGTAATAGCCAAGTCCTGTGGTTCTTAAAACATCTGGGGTGGAAGAGATGGAGTGCTGGAATGTTTTATTAACTAAGGAAAGCCATTTTCATATCCTTGACAGACCTGATGGAAGGACTTGAGAATTACACAGACTGTTGGTCTTTTCAATACTTATAATACTGAATAATTCTTTACCTTTATATAGCACATTTCTGGATACTCCACTCAAAGAGCTTTACAGGTAATCCCTTCCACTACAATGTGTAGCACACACCTTGATAATGCAATGTGTGCAGTGTGCAAGTACACTCGCCACACATAAGTGGGGTGGAGAAGTTTAAGCCAACTGTTCAAGCCGACAGCGACCAATCAACCTTTACTAGGTGACTACAAGCCCACAGCAGTCTGTCCAGAGGCTGATCAGGTCTGCATGTCAACAGATTGTGTCAAAACTCAAACCCAGTACTCACTTCATAATTTTATTTTCACATTGATGGGGTTTTGTGTTACATGTCAAACACATATCATGATTCTTTTATAGTATTTTTGTTCATATTCTATTATTTTAGAATTGAATATGAATATTTTAGAGTTGAGATTCATGCTTAAAATATCGAATTACTGTACATCCTTTAGACCTGAGTGTAGTGTTTCTTTTACGTGTCGGTATATGATTATTATTGTTGTTAGTTAGCTATAAAGAGATCTACTGAACCTTTAATGTGTTTCATTTTTTTTCTCCCTGTATCTTTGCAGCCTGTGTACTGTTATGCTCAATAAGTTTAGAATGCATGCTTTGTCTTGTTTTTTCATTGAACTTGAATTTCAAGCAATGCTAGGCACACACATTTGTGGAAGCTGGCTTGTTTCCCCGAATGTCTCACTTTGTGGCTGTCTGTGCTTCTGCTTGTTTGTATTCCTTAAAAATGTTGAGGGTGTGTACCTCTCAGTAAAACCTATTGTGTTAAAAGCATTCTCGCACCCTTGTAAATGTTTATCATAGTGAATTTATCACTTTTATAATGACTCTTGTGCTGTGGTTATAGACATTATACTGTATATTCTTTGCACTCTCAGTATGGTTTCTTATGACTTTACTGTGCCATTGTACTTTAAAACACTGGTCTAAGAGAAAAAACATCCGTAAAAAGGTTTATTATTGTATGTTAAAATATTACCATGTCCCAGTCTAGTAAATTTCAGAAAAGACATGACAAAATTATAGCATATAGTGAAAAGAAAATCATGATAAAGTCACCATGCTTTAGTTTTATAGGTGAATCTTCACAGTGGTTAATGTATTTCCTGTCTTGCTGCCGTGTGACAAGTGTTAATTTTGAAAGACAACTGTTATCATTGTGCTTATGCAAAAAGAACATTTAAAAACGCCTTAAATAGCGCTTTTCAGTTCACTATTGAAATAGCCATGACAAACGTTCTTTAAGTGCTGTTCTTTTCCAACTCGAAATGCAATACAAAATGACATTTAAAGGTAATACAATTATTATTCTATATATTCTTGTACTACATTTGAACTCTCTCATGACAAAAATGATATTATAAAAACAGTACTATGTTGAATATTACCAAAGATACTATTGAAAATACCATTACTGGTTTGTACTTGTGCAGATATGGATGATCTCATTAATTAAACAAAATGAATATTGCAAACCACTCCGGAAGTTTTGATGGTACACTAGTGTTAATACATGATTGAAAAGGCCTATGCCACAAAATGGCTGAAATCAGAAAAGCATTCTCTAAGCCTTTTTTGCCATTCAGATCCCATGAAGAAATACATTATCCAGTCAGTCTGAAACAAAAGAAACAGTGTTCATTTGAAATTTTACACTTCTGCAGCATCCTGGAATTTCTGTTTCTTACTTTAGATTTCTTTTTCTGCCTGCCGCTGCATAAAAAGTAGCATTTGCCCAGGAGCCTTGCTATGCTACAATAAGTTAAATAATTGTTGTTTTAAAAAAGTGCATCGAGGGAGATCATTCCTCAAACTATTTCACAAAACAGACCCATCGTTCAACAGCGCTTGTACATTTTATCTTTTAAAACATCCCATTGTTTCATCATCTAGCTGCAGCAGACTGGCTAGGTACAACTTTAGTTTCCTTTCCCTCTTTAGCAATGGAATTGACCACTTGGAAATATTGTGCCCAAATGGACTCCTGTTCAAAACTGGATTTTTAAAGTGGCAAACATATGTGTTCTCCTTTATGTCCCATATCTTTGTGCTTCCACTGAAAACTTTTTTTTTACTGAGGCATATTTTTGGTATGATCATTGAAGTGATTTGAATGGACTAGTTATAAGCCATCTGTTTCTGTACTCAGGTTCCCCTCTTTTCTCTTTCCTGCTTTACCAGTTATGTCAATAAAAAGAAATGTGTATCCTGCCCAGCTGCTATACACACTCAAGATGATCTGAGGTATTTAAAAGACACCTATCCCACACGAATTTCAGGCACCAGGTAAGGGTGCCTTTTAAATAAATCCAAAGATTTATTACATTCAAACAACCATTATCTTCTTGTAGGTTGCCACAGCCGAAACATTGCCACGCTCTCTCGTTACTTTCAGTGTGGAGCTGACTTTTACAGATGGCACCGTCTGCTAGTACTGTACAGTATGTACAGTATACATTAAGTATTTGTAGCATTTTTACCCATGTGATTAGCTGAGGCTATAGTGATATTTAATTTTAATAGGCCGACACAGATATTCCATTTCAGCAATTGGTAAGCAGTTTTTTGCTCTAATAGATTTGTTTTAAGTGAGTTTATGAATGTCACACTATTATTGTTGCAGGGTAAGTACCTTGCCCCAAAAGCCAAGAAGAGGAAGTAAGGGAAAGAAAAAGAATTGACTCAAACATTTGCCGGTTCTGAGGACACAGGCCTGCGGCCCTAGACTGGATTAAATGACTCATAATTGAACTGGGGTAGAGATCACCATTGAATGCCATATTACACCACCAAGTTAGTTTCTCAGAAAAAAAAAACAAATGAATCAGCAAAATGTAAATTGCTTTTAGGATTGTTTTCCTAGAAAATCACATTTTCTTGTCTGTTCCATGTATTTTAATTCATAGACTGTTTTGGGATCTGTCTCATTTTTCATTCCTTCTTGGAATACAATTTGAGTTTTCTTCACCTGGATGAATGCCACCTTGTTACTAAACTACAGTAAACAAACATATTGCTAAGATCTCCATGATTTTATCCTGTAGTTCCAGGTTTAGCACCCAAGAAATTGTTGCATGATTTTAAACCTTTCCTCTATGTCACCACATGTACTGAATCGAAATTTCCCCCAAAAAATATTTTTTGAATAATTACACATTACTGAATAATGGAATAACATGGACATAATGTTTAGCTTTCATGAATGTTTATTTCCTTATGAAGTGATTGCATTTTCTACTGGGTTTTGAGACAGGCCCATTCAGTATGTGCATTGACAAATGTGTTTACTGTTTTAGATAGAAAACTGCTTTTATACAATTTTGATTTATTGCGTAGGTTTTCCTCACTCTTTAGTAACCTCCTGTTTTACAGATTTGGAGCCACCAGATATTTGTCTGTTTATAACCCTGCACTGTAACCCTTTAGTTAATAAACTCACCTCACGGCTACAGCATTCATGTCAGCAGCACCAGAATGAGGACCAATAAGACCTCGTTTGATCCAAACTTGACAGAATCATTCCCCTGTAATAGCATAGGTGAGAAGGGTGCTGAGGATCTCTGACAACCCAGCAAGTTCTCAGGCAACTGACACATCACGGAAAGGAGCTGCTTTTCCATAGTAAGACAAGGACACCCTAGATACTGTAGTTTCAGCTTACAAAACCCCTGTAGCACCTACAGTAGCAAGCTCAGGAAATCCCAGTCACAGTTGTTTAAAGACCTCAAAGTCAAATCAGCAATATATGGACTACACAGTTTAACCAGTTCTCTGAAGT